TGCATAACCAACAAAACTTTGGCAATATTTGTTAGAATAAACAAATCTATATCAAGGATTCCTTTTGCAATATAATCCTAATAGTATTCCAATATCTTCATATAGGAATAAAACTATATCTTGCTTGTATATTGTTATACTCATAGTTCTAGCAAGATACATTAGTGCATCAATTGCACTAAACACAAAAACAAATCATGTATGCCGTGATCGCTCTAATTCACATAAGAATTTGCTGAAGCTTTATTTAATAAATTTCTTGGGAATCTTAATATGCTTCAGAGCAATTTAAATCCTTCAATGATTTCCATTATACGCATATCAAGTTTTTCATGTATTGCCAGATTAAAACCTGAAATGACTACATCCACCACAGGAGAACATGTCTCTATATAATCAATGTCAGGATATTTACAAGTCTTCTTGTGTCACAAGTCGTCTTTATGTCTATCGACTTGACCTTTTTCGCACAAGAACACATTTATACCACCACTGGCTTTATACTTTCAGGTGTTGGGACTATCCGTCCAACTTCACATTTTTCAGGTGAAGTCAATTTTCATTGCGTACTTTCTATTTGGCCAATCATTTATCTGTCCAAATTTCATGACAGATTTGAGCTCAAGATCCTCGTCAATATTAATAAAATTGAGCGCTACATTATATTAACAATATCGTCGACGATCATTTTGCATTGGTTCCATCACCACTCAATAAAGACATAACTTATCGAGATCTCATTATTTTCAGGTACCTGAGCCTCTCCCATGAGGTCTTATAAAATGTTATGTCATGGTGCTCTTATAAAGCACTTGCCTCCTTAGTATGACCATCTTTATCATTTGCTCCTCTCCTTCTTCAAGTAGTTTTATCTTTGGAACCGATTGGTCTGTTACGCTTCTTGCGTGCCATAGACTCTGTCCCTCATGGACTTTATTCTATTTGGAGCATTAGCAGCTGAAATATGACATTTAGCTTTGGGTCAGCAAATGTGTTTGGCAATAATTTGCAAATGAATTATCACTTGAACTTTAAGTTCATATTTTCTTGTACGAGGATCTATATGTATTCATAATAATTCATTCCACGTATCACTTTCTTAGCTGCCCATTTTCTACCCCTAATGTTGGGATCACCAACACATTTCCCAACCTTCTTTGGGAACCCATCTTTGTGCATTGTGGTGGCATAATTAAATCATATAGCACATCCATATTTTTAGATGAAAATTATTTGGTTCCTGACCCTGAACCGATTGTGATAGGGAGAACTTTTCATAACTTGGCTAGATGCGTACAAGTGCGGCTGTATATTAAATAATACATCTCATACCAAATTTCGTTTTGGGAGTTTTGTTCTCATAACCAACGGTTTAGCTATAATTGAAGGCATACGATTTCTGCTAAACCAACTTGGATTTAAACCAGCATTATCAAGATAAATCACCATAATTTATATTCTGGAATTGTGCTCTAATAATTTGAGCAAACAACCTTGCAAAAGTCAAACTGCAAGTTGATAACAAATGCACATGTGACCATACAATAGATGCATTTATTAAAATCATATAATAGTAAACGGTCCACATGGCAGGTGATTGGGCCCATATATTTATCACCTTTTATTCGTTCCAGAAATCAAAGGATTCAATCCCAACCTTAACTGGTATATCATGAGAATAAGCAGCACAAGAGAATTCTTGAAGAATCTTCTATTTCTTTAATATACGTGAATTCTCAATTAATTTTCGCATCATAATTTAACCGGGATGGCCAACCGGTCATGTCAACTAATATTTGTTTAAGTAAACCTCTAGTTTACTTGTGGCATGTGATTCAATCATCATGCTTATACTTGTGTAGTACAAATAGAAGAAAAGTCGGGTAACCTTTTATATTTACCCGGTATGATTATAGTAATTTGGAGATATTCAATCTTCCTTTCATTTAGTCTCAATATGCCAAAGTGTATGCCAACCACTTTGGCTTGTACATTTGAAACTCAAAAAGTTTCTTTTGAGACTTACTACAATATTAATGTCATGAACAATTTTACCCATCTGGGTTGTAACAAATTAGCTTTTCCGGAGCTCTTAATTGATTTTGTACTATAAGATCTTTTGTCACACCATCCATATGTTGAATGTCTCCTTCACAGATAAAATCATATCATAATGATTGTCATGGTCAAAATCATCATAAGCAAAATCATTTCTTGCTTTAATTTTACCTTTAATAACCTTTTATAAGACATGGCAAAATATTTTCGGCATACCACATGTACGCGACCAATAACATATTTATGTAACTACACAGTAATATTCATTATCTTTCCTTATCTCAAACCTCCCGTATAGGTGAGTTGTAGTATTGATTCAATCATGCATATATACATTCTTGTGCATAATTTATATCATATATATTTTCACATTCACTTTCAAGAATGGGTCTGCATTTACAATGCTTATCACAAGTCACATTTTCAAAAAATGGACCATAATCATCTTAATGTGCCTCATATTTACAGACCATATTGATACACATTTCCTTCACTTTTGAAGGATTATCTTGAAAATCCTTATTGTTCTCCTTATTACAATTTCAATTACCATAATGATGACTATTATTATTTTGGTCTTTGGCACGCTCACATTCATTCGCCAATCACTTGTCTTCGTTTAGACTTATTATGCACCGCTACCACATTCACTTCAAGAATGGAGCAAATCAAGTGGGACACGCTTCATGCCTTGTCATGAAAAATATATTATTTTTCTTTAGTCATCATTATATCATCATTATGGTACATTAAGACTCAAACCCAATGCCTTACCAATATAAATGCATGTTAGGCCATAATGAATTGAGACTCAAACCCAATTCTTATCATCATGGAGCATCAGGACTTGAACCCGATTTCTTACCCTCATGGTGCATTGCGACTTGAACTCATTGAAGTTGATATCATTAATAGCAAAGGACAAAAGTAATTTCAAATACGGAGGAAATGCTTACCTCTTGAGTTAAACTCTTCATAATGTCATTTGGATATAATTCTCAACAATAAACTTTCGTTTACTCAAATCTGCTAAGTAATTAGTGTCAAACAAATATATGAAAATACAAAATAATATTGAAAATTTACATGTGGTCTTTGCTGCATGCAATAAACCTACTTCAAGATGAAAGTGATATGACCAGAACATTAAGGAAAAATGATGTATCAAATAGAATAATAGTACTACTAGTTACCATGTACTTTTGTGGAAACTAAGTATTATGCTCTCTAAAAAAACAAAGAAAAATAGCAGAACCTTTAAGTCAATCAGGGAATCAAAAAAAATAATGGACAAATCTCTGTCTACTATCTACTATCTACTTACTATATGCTTTCCATATAGAAATGATTCAACATGTTAATTTGATAAGAGCTATCATCAATACAAAATTTGGTGCAGTACACTTATTGTACTAATATACTATATGTAAATTTATCAAAACATATAGTTTAGATATAGTACTACTATATCATGCATTAACATTTCATTACCCATAAAAAAAAGAGACAAATAATGAATGAGTCTAACACACTTGTTCAAGTCAACAAGCGTAAAAGTCGGTAAAATTCAAATGCAAACTAATATAAGACTAGTGGAATCAGACGCCTTTTTCCTCTTAACAAACGTGGGTATATCAATCTTAAAATAATCACATATAAAATACTTAAATACTTATAGCCAAAGCCAATTATAGTAAAATCAGTAAAGAGATAATTCATACGTTTGGTTGATTACAAAATCATTGTAATGATATAACTATATTCCATTTGCCAAATCAAAGTAAAATAAATTGGTTACATACCTAACTCTTACCGAAGAACATTTGAAAATATTGGCAACCATATATGTCATGTAACTAAGTTATAGTTCAAGGATATTTTCTAATGCAAGACATTCAACTTAAAGAACTATTACATGATAAATCCTTCAAGATAGATGATAAACCACAGATGTTTTATTATTTCATAAAATAATTTAGTACTGTAAGTAAAAATAAACCATCTAGATAGATATACTTTATGTATGATTATGAACCATCCAATATGAATGAAATAAATATTTGAGTTGTAACTATATGAAAAACGTTGCTCAAGTATGATACGTATATGACCACAAGACATTTATATTGTCATATATTAACCCTTCCAATTGGTATTTAAGTAAGCACAAAAATTATATACTTAGGAGCATACCTTGGAATGATGAACTGCTTACCAAAAAAAAGATAATCCATAGAACATTTGTCTCACTGTCCATACGAAATCCAACAGGCTTACACATCGGAAGCTACAGATCAACTTTGTTGCGACACATTTCCTAAAAGTTGAGAAGGATTGTCGCTCAGAACAATCGTGCTGATAACGTGTTATAAAATATAGTTCAAATTAACAAGGAAAAACAAGCTAAGAGATATAGAGAGATAGAGAGAAGGAAGAGATTTTCTTCTTCAATTGTGTGATCTTTCCATCTATTACAAGGCCTTTATATAGGTATGAAAAGTGAAAAAATATGTCATTAAGCATTTGAGATCATGGAGGAAGATCATGGGGAGGTTATGGAGTTACAATCATAACTCCATAAGTATTATAGTAGTGAAAATTATGGAGATAATGGAGAAGAGTAGTGAGCATTACTCTTTTGGTGGTTATGGACATCCACCATAATTCAAAATTTTATAACAGTTTTTGAATTTTTAAAAGATCTAAAAAACTGAGAGTAGATCTTCAGGAAAAATTGTTGTTATTTATCTATTGCAAAACAACTCAAACAAACAGAGTTTGCAAAAACTCAAATTATTTGAGCAAACTTTGCGTTTGAAAATGTTGAAAGCAAGACTGTCAAACTTGTTTGCTCTTGTTTATACTATTTTGTGAATTGTTTGCGGATTCTGAATCATAAATCTCTTGACAGCTTTTGCACTTCTCTGCAATTTTTGTTGCAGGCTCGTATGCCAGGTGGTGCGGACTTGTTTATTTGCTATGGGGGAGTTCAACTACGAGAGCCAGTTGCAGCCAAAGCTGATTGGCTGGTGTTTAATTTTAAGGACTTGATTAACTCATTGGAGTAATGTGCTATCGCATCTTCACTCTTCCAACAGGGGCTTATGCAGCTTTGTAGTTGTGTTCTTGATGTCATTTATTTGGCTCTTAAATTTTGCTATGAGGTATTGCGAAAAAAATTTGAAATCTTGGAAACTGACCTCATTATGATTGGGAGCTAAACCCTCGTCTTGTATTGTGTCTTCTATACTGCATTTCTAGAGAACTTATTGCATTCTCACCAGCCAGAATGAATGGCGTTCACTAGAGAAGAAGCTACCTTTATTTATTTAATATAACAACCGTCTTCCTTGTCTTGTATTGTCTCTTCGATCTTAGCTTGATATATAGCAAATGTTTGGTTGAAAATGATTCACAGTTACCTTTCTGGGCTGGTTTTATGTCTTGGCTTGCATGACAATGACAATATATGAAACAAGAGCAAAAGAATCATGTCGTGCTACATACTGCAAATTGGATGAGTTTTGAACAACCTAGTGTCTCTTATTTGAATCTTAGAACTGGAAATGCAGAACATGAGAACAGAGAGTACCAAAGAGTCTCCCACTCAAAGGCCCCAAGAGAAACTGATTAAACAGAGCATTAAACATAGTAAAAAGGCAAAAAGAATAAGATAAAAGATAAAAGATTTGAACAGAACCTCAGTTCAAAAACAGGAATATTATTACACGGGAATACATTAGCGGTTAATAGGCCAAATAAGGAGACGGCTCGGGATGAGAAGAACAACTCTATTATATCTTCAATAGTACAAACCTTACTATACGCAATCCATAGAGTAGTTGCTCCATTTACATATAAACTTATATGGGCGTCTAACCGGTGATCTCAATGGACTTGACATCAGGCTTCTTCACCTCTTCTTTCGGAACAGTAACAGTGAGCANCATAACGCGTGCATGAAACGTTCTTGAAATATGACACAAACACCCTAAAGCGTAAAGTGTTGCAATAGTCAAACACTACATCAACAAGCCCATAGTTGCTCTTATCGTTTAGAGGCTGACTCTTCATGAGACGAGTTCCTATTATGACTTTAAAAGATTAACGATAATTAATCTCTCTGTTTATCTGAAAAATCGAATATAGTTAAATTTATAAGTAGTTCTAAGGATATGTGATATAGCTTGACATAAATCGTACATAGAAATGGAAATGTTTAGATTCTTGGCTATAAAAACGGGAGATAAATTATTGAACAAGAAGAGTGAGCATGCTGAGTAAAACAAGCTTAAGAGATTTATTCTTCAATAAGAGAATTAGTCTTTTCTTACAATGTGTGAACCTGCCTTGTGCTTACAAGGATTCCCCCTTTTATAGTAGAGGGATCTTACTTTATTTATAATAAAAAATATATAGTGGAGAATCCATGATGAATTGTCTCTTCCTCGATTCCCGCCAAGATTCTCTCCCCCAGTGCGGTTGTAACGACTCTTGTATGCGAGCTCGATACTGGCTCGAGCTCGGTATTGGGTCGAGCCCTCGGCCTTGGTTCGAGTTCAGCATTCAGGGTGAGTGTCAATCGGTCTGTACATCTCCGACAACCTTCATGTTGCCTTGCGGTTCGATTTGGTCATGAGCTCGATAATGATACCGAGGCGATTCCTCGATCGGTCTTGGAGCTCGAAACTTGTTTGTACTATCTTCGGAACTCATCTCGAAGTCTCACTTCGGTCGCTTACCATTCGAACTCGATCAAACGTACGAAAGCCAAAATCTATTTCTACCGTATACGGATAGTCCTCTCGTTTCTCAGGAAGAATGTGGTGAGAAGCGATATGATTTTCAACGGCTCGATCAGATTATAAGCTGACGTTTTCATTGGGCTCGATTATGACGTACGTGATAGTTGTCTTGTTGATTTAGTCTTTCAAGGTATTTAATGCATGTCAGACAGTGGCCAGCCACCGCTGATACTGAACTGCCACGGTATAAATGTATAAATAACCCTTCCATTTATCATTTGCCACTTTTACATCTTCAATCTCCCAAATTTTCTTACTCTTTCTGCCTCTATTTCGCCGCTTGTAGANTTTATTTGTACTATCTTCAGAATTCATCTCGAAGTCTCACTTCGGTCGCTTACCATTCGAACTCGATCAAACGTACGAAGGCCGAAATCTATTTCT